AGCCCTTTTTTCGAAGTTTTACTTTACCACTTTTTCGGCGTAATTAACGTGTATACTCATGCCAAACAGTTTTTTAGCTTAACCACGGACGGACGGTCGGAAAGATTGACATGGCGAAACTATAAGGGTTCCTTGTTTGCTACGGAACCCTATAAAGGTAAGTTTCTAAATGTGATTGTTTGTAGGGGGTAGGGGGTAATCGTCGGAAATGCTGATTCTATTATGAAAATTCTTTCACCTATGCGGGTGAATATGGCATAAATTAGAAAACAGCTAGTTATAAATGAAATAAAGACAAAAGAACACATAAAACAATTTTAGATGTAACTAAGACCCTGTGAACAGCCGTTTACTGCATACAAAACACAGGCCTCTTTTTATTTTATAAACTTTTCAACCAGGCAGAAGTCTTTTCCACATTTTTGGAGTTTTAGAACCGATAAAAAGGTATCAGTATCAGCGAATTTGTATCGAAATGACAGTGTCGCCATGGACCAATAATATGTCGCTATGTAGAGTAAGCTTACTTGTCGTACGTGGGGGCAGTCTGCGGCGAGCTCTGTGTAACCACCACTCTCAACTTCGGCCCCAGCGGCCACAAGTTAACTTACATTTTACGATGAGACGTTCAGCTCTCAACAAAACAAACTTCTTGCTTTATTTTACCGTGTGTATATCTCGTTTTTGAGAAAATCTACCATGAATAACATTGGTGCATTACTCTTTCTAAAAATTCTATGACTCTTTTGGTTATTTAATACTTTGAGGACCTCTAATTTACATACAGGCAAATATATTACTTTACCGTACTCGGTTTTAAAATGTTGAATTATGGCAAAGCTTATACCGTTGCCAGCTGCGATTTATCAAAATTAAATTCTTCCTAAAAATGGCCAAAATCGGAGTACTTCTTTATGAATGTCAACAGTTTATTACTTTTTTATTAATATTAGTTCTCTTGAAATACTATAAATATATATTTTTCATACCAGTTTGCAATCAATAAATAATTCCAGATTTCCTTATACATTCAAAATATTTTATTTTTTAGTTGAAGCGAACTGAAAAACATCCACCGAAATTATAATTATTTTCAGTGCAGTTAGCTTTGTGTTCTGTATAATAACCACACAGTATGGCTCACAGACGTGTTAAATGTTCATTCCACTCTATCGGGCGAACGAAATTGACCGAGCCACATAACACAAAGAGCTTCGCCTACCTCGGCTGAACTGCTTAGGTCGCCATTTGCATTTTGCTTCTATACTCAGCACAGGACAGGACAACGAACTGTAATGTAACGCGCTGATACATTGATGATTTATACATTTTTTCAAGTAGAACCGACTTCAAAAACTTCTTAAATAATATTCATCTTTCATTGAAGGCGATTCATATGTTCTTGGAAATTCTTTTGTGCTGGAATTATTTTTGTAAGTTCATGGAAATCCACAATGCAATACTCTAAAAGCTGCCTTTCCATGTGCGTTTTTACAATAATATCTGGTATACGAATAATATATTATTAAATATCACTAATTTTTTTTTTTGTATATAAATGGCTGTTGATAGAGAAATTTTATGGTATTAAAGATTTTTGGACTAAAAAATATACATACTTAATTATCTTATCATACTTAATTTCTGAGAAATTGATCAAATATAATAGATAAACTTAAATTATGATTTATTTCTAATTTCATCCTGACATTTAAATGTAATTATAATTATTTCACATACAGATTCACATTATACATTATACTAGTGGCCGCCAGCGACTTCGTCCGCGTTTTCCATTATTTCTTCGCTCCTAATAGTTGCAGCGTGATGTTATATAGCCTAAAGCCTTCCTCGATAAATGGTCTATTTAACACAAAAAAAAATCAATTCGAACCAGTAGTTCCTGAGATTAGCGCGTTCAAACAAACAAACAAACTCTTCAGCTTTATAATACTAGTATAGATATTTATTTGACATTGTACATTCAATAATAATCAATTAATGAAACAGTATTTGTATGCTTAGTAATAGGCGAAACATGTGTACATATTAAAATTTTAATTGTGTTATCTTATTAACCATGTTTGTGGCAAATTGAATTAGAAATCGGGCGTATAATAATAACAACCTACACAAAACCTTCGCCCGACTTCAAAAGAATTTTCACCGCATTTTAGGATGAGTATTATTTTCATGTTTTTGAAGTCGATTTTTTTTTTTTTTTCTAAATCTTTTATTTTTTGGTAAATTATTAAAATTTGATGTTAACTTAAATGCCGCGTACAACCGGGTACAAATTGATTGAACGAATGACCAATACCATACGTTCAATACAATATGTTCATTTTTTAAATGGATCGATCTAAACCCATGGTAATGAATTGGCTGCCAGTGGTTTGTATTTGGCTTAATAGGTATGATACACATATACTGTTTGACTTTTGTTTCTTTTTTTCAATTAATATGTCGTCCAAGTATTTTCTTTATTTGTCAGAACGCTTTAAGTTATTTGTATAGGTACTGCTATATTCGGACTCATTATTTATTTAATTAATCTTTATTGGAATACAGCAAAGGGCGAACTTAATGCCGTACGACATTCTGTGCCACTCGACCAGTAAGGTACACTTCGCGAAGAAATCGGTGAAACAACATAAAAAGAACAAACATTACACAGATACCCTGTCGAAGATAGACGATGATGATATTTTCGATTTTTAAATCAGTTAAAAAGAAAACCAAACAGAAAATGTGTAAAAAAAGCAACTGTAATTTTTTTCTCTTTCGATTAAACTATAAAATTGCATACTTATGTATTTTTATCCTTTCTACTCGACGGAGTGAAAAGGAGGGTAATGATTTTGGCCGGTATGTAAGACTCTTCATCTGTTCCCTTATAACTTTAAAACTACTCATTGTAACTGGGTAAATGATATATCATTAAAAGTGTCTTAACTGTCGCGTGCTATAAGCTATGTGACGTTACATTCAATTTACAAAAGCGACCTCTAGAGAGCATAACGTAAGAAACTAAAAACATATTATTCAATCATTCCGTGTAGGGTATCAAATGCCACTGATAGATACCACGTATGCCACTGATCATAACAAAATAATCTGTTGTGGCATACGACTGTGGATACTGTTCTTCGGTCATCGATATTATAATATAACTATCGCTATAAAATAAATTTCTTATTGTAAACTTTTTAAAGTGTGATTTTTAATCTACATGTTATCTTACATATAAACTTAACAACAAATAAATAACAGATGCGGGTAAATTTTTTTGAAAACCATTTCTGTAACTATGAAGAAAGTTAATACCATAGTTTAATATAAAGAATTGCAAAAATGTAGGTTGCCTTTGATTTACTTTCGATATAGGTCAATAAGAGGTTGCTAGGATCAAACAGTAACACGGCTGATAATAAATACTCTCATCATTTCTTTAATGAAATTCAATATTGTAACGTTATTTTATTCTCCATCCTCATAATCGACATCAACTTTGATCTATTAGGGTAATTTTTACCAGCGTCAATGTATAAAAATGGTTTACTGTATTAACTGGCTAACATTCATTAAAAGTGGTTCCTTTTTTTAATTTATATAAATAAATATTCACAAAGCTAAAAAATACAAATTTGATCTTAAACGTGTATTCAGAGTGTATAACATGTAACTGAGTACAATATTTGCAGATAACTAGCGTAAAATTTTAATTACCTACATAATAAATTAAATAAATCAAAAACAGTCCAACCTCACCTCACCCTAAGTGGATATTTGCAATCATAATGTAAAACGGTTAGCACATCATTTAACATTCAGATGAAAAGCTAAGTAACTTTGAGATACTGGCCCAACACCCCCAACTTGTGTTAGCGCAATTTTTTATTTATGAACTGCAAACGGCCGCTTCCTGGGGGAATCCAAATCAAAAGTTGGAGGCACGTCCCATCGCGGCACTCTCGTCACGACCGCAAACGGTAAAGCTATAAGGTGTCAGCAACAGAGGCCATAAGCCCTCACAAACTAAGTATCGTATATTGCTCTCAATTAAAACCGACGCGTAGGTACATCTTATTTATGGGTAAAATGACATACAGTGTCTCTTCATGCTATGATTTAACCTGGTAATAAAGCAAATTCCACTAATATTTCTTACATCCAGTTGCACAAACGTTAAAATTATAATTAGTTTAAAGCCACAATACTAAAGAATTCTAATAGAGATCTTTGCACATCATCGATTCAAAATCTTAAATTTAAAACATTCTTTAGAGCTTAAAGTCGGCATTAAAGCTTAACGGACGTTTGTGCAAATGGGTGTGTTAACTTACAATCATATAGCATTAAATATTTGTTTCGGAAAACTATTTATTATTGTTTATTTGTCAATGTGATGGTACGAAAAAAGAGATTTTATGCAATTATTTAATATATTTGACTATATTTTTTGTTAATTCTTCAGACCGTTAAAGTGTTTCTTATGATATTGAAGGGCATTAGAAGTACTAATGTTAGTTAATATTTTTCAATGCGATAATTTATGAACGAAGTTTATCAGTCAATTTTTATATTAATTTAGAACGATTTTACAAATCAAGCACTTGTGAAAGTCGAGAGCTACGCCATAAATAATTGAAATTATTTTCTTTAAGTGGACACTTAAATATTTTTCCTATAACGTTTTCTACGCTATCATCCTGGCATCGCGATCTCGTCTCGTTTTCTCTTCCCTTTTACGCGCAGCTATAATTATATCTTTAAAATTTTCATAACATGGTTTGAATAATATCTTGTTTTTCTTCGTGACTCATTTCAAGAGTTTCTTTACAATATTGTTTTGATTAGGGTTAAAATGGAAACAGGCTCACAATATATCGTTTATCTAGTTGTGTTTGTTGCTACGTTACCGGCAGCAAAATATAAGAGTAATTTCAGGTTTGTCACAGCAAAGTAAAATCCGGTAGTCTACGACAGTCTCTCCGAAAATGGGTCAGAGGCTATTGAGACGCAACCCTGCACCCGTTCAGCCAGGGGGGCTGTCCGCACCCCTGCTGTGTGTCCTTTGCATAATTGAGCACGCAGCGAATATTGTTATGCCTGACATCTGCAACTCTAGAAGTATCACGTCTCACGTGAAACCACGTGTGTTGCATAATTATTACCTGAAGTTCGTCCTAGCCTCATCTTCTGAAACTAACCCTCGAGTGTCATTAGCGCGTCTTAAGTGGCGCCGGCCGGTTATTAGCCTTTATGGTTTCATTATGTGATTACACGATACTTGCGGTCGACCTTAATCATTAATACAAATTAACGTTAAGTTAATAAATTCCACTAACCATATGTCATTATAATTGACGTATTGTGGTAAAGAACACGGAACAGAAAAAGAGAAGTAAACATTTAGTTCCAAAATGTTTCTGGAATTCAAGAATACAATTATGTATTTAGAATATTTATGTCATACATAATTTAGAATATCATCGGTAAACACATTAATAATAATTGTAAGAATAATTGTAAATAGTTTATTGATAGGTTTTAATTTTATTTTTGCAGTTCTCGCCCCGTAACTTCACAATGTGGATGTTTTACTGTGACCAAAACGCGTTGCAAGCTATTTTTTCGCTCAACGGGCAGTTTCAGTCTTCAGTGTAATATATTCAAAAATAAATGATGATTGTATTTCATAAATTTTGCATTTTCGATGTTAAATAAATTATTAAATAATATAATCTTTTTAACCGAGTTCAAAATCCAGAAGGAGGAGGTTAAGTGTTCGACGGCGATCTATTTATATATGTATATTCACCGATATTTTCGCCAATCGTTGACCGATTTTCAAAATTCTTTTTTTATTCAACAGCCTAATGCAACGATGTGGTCCCATTTAAAATTTATAGAAATCGAGTCAGTAGTTTTCCTTTTATAACAAAACCTATAACGGACCTAAACTTATATAATTAAAAGGTCCAGTTATTATGAATTAGTTTTATTTTATATATTATAATTTTAGTTTGTACAAGCAATGTATATAGATGACAAGTTCAACTAAAAAAAAAACATGAATATTGTTAAATAATTACTAATTATTTATTCACATAATATAATATTTATTTAATTGATTGACATAATAATGATTAGTTGCTATGGGAACTCAACTTTCTTTTAATTGAAACTTCAGAAGAGTCATACTAAGTAGGTTAGTATATAACAGTTCCTCCCTCCCAATTTCTTAAGAAGGAACCGGGATGACAGTACTCAACATCTGATCCATATGTCTTTTCCACAATTCTCCTGTATCTGTAAGTACTTCATAATGTAGGGTACCAAGTCTTCTTTTTACGGTTCCAAAAGCCCATTTGGATCTGGAAGAGTAATCGCGTACTTGTACACGGTCTCCAGGTGCAAATACCTTTCTGATGGTATCAGTAGGTCTGAGCCAGGATGACAGTTGTTGACTAGGCTTCAGCTTGACGTCTAGTTGTGTGCGAACTGGTCTCCCAAATAGCAGATCATACGCACTTTTTCCTGTACGTTGGCTCGGTATTCTTCTAAGTCGTGACTTGATTATGAGAAGTTTATCGTATATATCACCCTCCTCAGAATTCATACTATTTAATGCTCTTTTTACAGTTTGTACATATCGTTCTGCTTGCCCATTCGTTGCCGGGTGATATGGTGCTGAAGTTTTATGTGTAATTCCGTTTTCTTTTAAAAATCTTGTGAATTCATTTGATGTAAATTGTCTCCCATTGTCAGATACCAATACATAGGGAAATCCGAAAGTTGAAAATATTTCTTTTAGGATTTTAATGCACCATGTACTTGTAGTTGTTTTCGTGGGGATGACTTCAACCCATTTGCTCATTGCATCTACAACTATGAAAAGATAGTAGTTTTTGATGGGTCCTGCAAAGTCTATATGTAGTCTTTGCCATGGTGTAATCGGTTCTTCCCAGTGGTGTTTAGTTGATTTCGGTGGTTCATTCTGATGTAATCTACATTCCCTGCAATGATTTACGAAATTTTCAATGTCTTTATCAATATTTTTCCAATAAACATAGCTTCTAGCGAGAAGTTTCATTTTAAGAATACCTATATGTCCCGCATGTATTTCTTGTAAAATTTTTCTTTGTAATGATGTTGGTATCATTACTCTTGTGCCTTTCAAAATACATTTGCCCTCTAATGTGAATTCATTGTTGTTATATCCTAAGGCCCTTAAGTCATTGCCATTACGTAGCGATTCCATTATCGTTCTACACATAGAGTCTTTTTCTGTTTCAGTTTGTATATCTTCATAACTAATACTTAAAGTGTTTATTTGTTTCAGTTGAAATACGGAGTGTTGATCTAGTTTAAAATCTGGTGCATCTACTGGAAATCTTGAAAGGTAGTCGGCGTTACTGTTGCAAGCCGAGGTTCGGTATTCTATTTGATAATCGAATCCAGAAAGAAAATGTGCATAATGAAACAATCTCATTGTACTCATAGAGGGTAAGGTCTTTTGGGGGTGAAAAATTGATGTCAAAGGCTTATGATCTGTTATCAGGATAAATTTTCTACCATAGCAGTATTGATAGAACTTTTTAAGCCCCCAGTAAATGGCGGTCGCTTCTTTGTCAATTTGACTGTAATTTCTCTCGCTAGTACTCAATGACCTTGATGCAAATGCTATTGGTCTGTCTGAGCCATCAGGTAGTCTATGTGAAAGTACTGCTCCCAATCCTGTAGGACCGGCGTCAGTAGCAAGGACTAGTGGTTTATGCTGATCAAAGTGTAATAGAACTTTGTCATCCGTGATTTCCTTTTTAATTCGCTTGAAACTATTTTCACATTGTTCGGTCCATTTGAATGTTGTTTCTTTTCTCAATAAGTTGTTCAAAGGGTATGATAATGAAGCTAAGTTTGGAATAAATTTATTATAGTAATTCGCCATTCCAAGGAAGGTACGTAGTTCGTTGATATTCTTCGGTCTCTCTGTTTTGACAATAGCTTTTATTTTATCTTTATTTTTATGTAGTCCATGTTCATCAATTGTATGACCGAGGTAGTTAATTTTCTTCTCGAAGAAATGGCATTTATCTTTATTTAATTTTAAATTGTTTTCTTTTAACTTTTCAAAAACTAACTTCAAACGTAGTAGTAGTTGTTCATTTGTTGATCCTTGTATTATAATATCATCAAAGAAACATTTAACCCCTGGAATGCCTCGTAAAATTTTGTCCATAAATTTTTGCCAAAGATTTGGAGCCACTTTAACACCAAATAAAAGACGAGTCACCTTGAAAGTACCTTTGTGCGTACTTATAGTTTGCATCAATGCGCTTTCCTCATCCATTTCCATGTTCAGGTACGCCTGACAAATATCTAGTGTGCAAAATACTTTACCTCCGTTCATTTCCGCAAAAATGTCTTCAATCACAGGTATTGGATATTGTTCATCTTTTATTACTTTGTTAAGTGTAACTTTATAGTCGGCACATAATCTAATGCTGCCGTTTGGTTTTACAATAGGAACTACTGGTGTACCCCAATCGGTGTTGTCAATTTTTGTGATTACTCCATCTTTACATAATCTTTCGATCTCTTGTTCGACTTTGTCCTTAAGAGCGTATGGAATGCGTCTCGGTTTAATAAAAATCGGCGTTGTGTTTTCTTTCAATGAAAAATGACCTTTGTAGTTAGGAATACATCCTAGCTTTCCATCAAACAAACAAGTAAATTCTGTAAGAAGTTCTTCTAGTTTCGTATTAGTCTGTGTATCTAAATTATTTAGGTTTTTGAGATCAATATTCACGTTTTGAATCCAGGCTCTACCGAAAATTGGTTCAACATCTTGTTTTATTATGTATAATTTCCCGTAAGCTATTTCTGAGTCATATCTATATTTTACATATGCTACTCCGAATGGACGAATAATTTCTCCTGTATAGGTCTTGAGTTTGATGTCCGTTTTAAATATTTTTTTGTTAGTATTCAGTTTTTGAAAATCTTTATATGATATTGATGACAAAGCTGCACCAGTATTTGTGGAATGTTCTGTAAATTTTCCACTTGGTTTTCGAACCAATCAATTTGTGCACGTATGGCGGTTCGTGTTCTTTTTAATTTTTCGACTTTACTTGCCATCGTCGCCAATTTGTTAAATAATTACTAATTATTTATTCACATAATATAATATTTATTTAATTGATTGACATAATAATGATTAGTTGCTATGGGAACTCAACTTTCTTTTAATTGAAACTTCAGAAGAGTCATACTAAGTAGGTTAGTATATAACAAATATGAAAAAGACATTTTAGACAGTTAATAGAATATCAACAAAAATTACAAAAGAGTTATTATATATAAAATTATGGTGGATTCGTCTACAAAACCTAATACGCTTTTTTTTAGCTCTTTCCAGCTAAAAAACAAAAGATTGCGTATTTGGAATTAATTCAAAATCCGAAAAGTGAATTTTCTTTTTTCAAGGGTATGTATATCTTTTATGAAAATATGTATGTTAATAGATTTCTTCTTGAATTGTGAAGGAATTTCTATCAAACTAGCTGTTTCCTAGAAATTCCTTCACAATTCAAGAAGAAATCTAACTTATGTACCACGCGTATTAAGTAGCTTCCCATAGATGTAAAACTTTCATAAATCGGTCCAAAACTTTCGGAGCCTACTGTGCAGCCGTTGGTGGACTTGTAATTAAAACGCTGGTATAATGTAGAGGTTTATTTATAACTGAATGCAAACAAACAAGCAAACAAATCTTTCCTCTTTATAAAAAATTATGCCGAGCAAATAAACACAATCTTCTTTTGTAAGGCTTACACTATGTTCAATATTTTTTTTAATGATATTTAATATATTAGTGATAGCAACTACTTAAAAAATATTAATATGATTGAAAAGCATGACATTAAAACCTTTTTAAAAATAGAACCAAAAAACAACTTCAGAAGTATAATACTTATTTCAAAAGCTACTTGTTCAAGAAAATGCTATTGAAGTCGGGCGTGCCAATCGTTTAAGTAATAACCTACAGAAGCGTCGACCTCCGTCCGCCCGACTTCAGTCGCATTTTCTTGAATAGGGATGACGACTGGGTTAAAAAAATGCAATTCTAATTAGTCCGTCAGTCAGATAATAGAAAAATATTAGATACGAATTTTTTTTACTTCATTTTAACTAGAAGATAAAAGGCATCAAAGTTAAAGAGTGGGGGCTCGCTACGTCACAGTTTTTTAGAAAACGTGCCATAACATGACGTCATACTAAATTTCAACTCCATGTATCGCCGCAATTTTATGATTACGAAAAAATTACGTGTTTAATATTTTTCAATACTCTATCTGACGGACAAACAAATAAAAATTAGTCGTCATCCCTATTAGTAGCTTTTGAGATAATTATTATTTATCATTTTTCAAAAGTTTGAAGATATTCCTATTTTTTCAAAAGGTTTTTATATAAGTAGATAATTATGTAAGACGTTTCTCAGCGTTACAAACTGTACGTTTGGTATTCAAAATACCAACTTTTAAGTAGCAAATCGGCGTAATTTTCATTGAGTTACTATCAAATGTTGTATTAGTTGTAGTAGATTTTGGTTTAGTCACAGTAAACGTAACACGCTCCTCCTCTTTTCGCTTGCCATCTCATTATAGCAGCTATAAACATAAATATACAAAAATATTTCAAAAATTGCTCAGACGCCCATTCGTTTTTCATTACCGTAGCACCGTGTGACGTCACTTGGTGCGCTGAATTTGTAGGGTCAAATAAAGTCTTAGGTTATTTTCGAGATTCATCAATTTAAATGTAAAAGATTTGGCAAATGATAAATCTTTCCTAAACATTTGATCAATTTTGCATTCATAATGATATACTGAAAAACATGCTTAATGAAAAATGCTTAGAAAACCTACTTTGTCCCTGGCACTCTGAACATTGATGTAACTCTGTAGTACTGAAAAAGTAACAAGTGCTTGAAAGATAAGTCATTCCTATAAGGTCCGTGGTAGCTCAGTGGTTAGAGCAGTTGCCCGGATTGCGAAAGGTCATGGGTTCGATTCCCATCTTAGAATGCCAGTGACAAAGTGGATCTTTTAAGCATTTTTTATTAAACGTTTTTGTCATTATCATGGCAACCAATTTTTGTTTGTTTATTCATTAGATAGATCGTTGAAAAATATTAAACAAAAAAAAAAAATGCTTTGGAACATTTCCTAAAAAACTGTAACGAGGCCCCAATTTTCAAGTTTAATGCCTGTTATCTAAGCTATTACTAAAAAATACGTATCTAATATTTTTCTATTATCTGACTGAAGGACTAAATAGAATTTCTTTTTTTTACCCAGTTGTCATCCCTATTCATAATCAAAAGAAACGGTCTCATAAAAAAAAATTAATTATCAGTTGTCAAAGTGAAACATAGACGAAACGTTGTTGGTTGGCAATAATCTGTCAAACAATTAAGACATCTATTTAAAAAATATTAGATACTATTATACTACTAAATACTTTAGCAGTTAATAAACAATCCAAATTCGTCTACATTTTTTACCACAGTGTAAGAATCGCAATATATGACATAAAGAAAATTATGTATTATTTCAGGCGGCAGTACCGGAGGGTATGACGTTTTCCGGTCCACTGCCGGATGTGGCCGAGAGATGTGGGCGTTGGGCGCCAGACTCACTATCAGCATCGGCATCCGGCAGTTCCGATGAGAAACCGACACCGCGGAGACCTCGTTGGCGCATCGCACTCGCGGCGCTGGTCGTGCTGGCCGCGCTCGGCGCCGCTCTCGCATTACCTCTTGCGCTTGGCGGTGGTGGTCGAGCCACTCCCGAGCAACGACTCACTACCATACGGCGAATGCTACGCGATTCTCCTCTCGTCGACGGACATAACGATTTAGCGTGGAACGTTAGAAAATTTTTGCATAACAAAATCAGCGATTTTAATTTGAGTGCTGGATTAGAAGGTCTCGAGCCCTGGGCAAGATCGCGCTGGTCGCATACAGATATACCTCGTTTAAGGCTTGGACAAGTCGGTGCTCAATTTTGGTCAGCCTACGTGCCATGTGGCGCTCGTGATAGAGATGCCGTGCAGCTAGCACTTGAGCAAATGGATGTTATAAAACGTATTGTGGAGATGAATGCTGCCCATATGGCACTTGTCACCGACGCTACTGAATTGTTAGAGGCACATCGCGATGGGCGTATCGCCTCCCTGATCGGTGTCGAGGGCGGACATGCCCTCGGTGACTCGCTAGCTGTGCTACGAGCCTTTTATCAGCTAGGAGCTCGGTATCTTACTGTTACACACACTTGCGATAATAGATGGGCTCGGGCGGCTGGCACCTCCGGTGGATTAACAAACTTCGGCAAAGCTGTCGTCCGTGAAATGAATAGGCTTGGTATGATAGTAGATTTATCGCACGCAGGAGAAGAAACAGCTCGTGACGCTTTAGAAACCTCTCAGGCGCCAGTTGTATTTTCACATTCTGGGGCAGCCGCTCTATGTAATTCCACACGAAACGTACCAGATGAATTGCTACGAATGATCGCAACGAACGGAGGCGTAGTAATGATTAATTTTTATGCAAAGTTAGTGACGTGTGGTGAAAGAGCAACAGTGGAAGACGTGGTGGCTCACATCAACCACGTACGGCGCGTGGCGGGAGTAGAACACGTAGGACTAGGTGCGGGTTACGACGGGATCGATGCACCCCCTGAGGGGCTGGAGGATGTGTCACGTTATCCCCACCTGCTGGCAGAGTTACTGCGTGATCCCGATTGGAGCGAGGATGACGTAAGGAAGCTGGCTGGCATGAACGTGGTACGTGTGTTACGGCACGTGGAGCGCGTGCGCGACCAGTGGCGTCGTGCCGCTGTGCTTCCCGGCGAAGAGTCTCCGGGTGCCCGCGCTGGCGTCTGCGTTTACGGGCCCGCGTGACGCAGGCTCGCCGCCGCGCGGTTACCGCGGCCCGTCTCGTACTGCTCAATATTGACACTTGTTGATCGTAGTTTATACATGTATATTAGTGTCCAAATGTGATTTAGCGATTAAAGTAATCTCTACCTGACCTCGATGCACAAATTGTTTAGCTAAGGAGCCGCGCGCGCTGGGTGCTTCGTCTCGGCGTTGGCCCGCGGTTCATCCGCTGAACACTTCTCCATCCATGCACACGACTTCGTTGACGAAAGCCCAATGCGATTCGCGATTTATAAACGATAATATAAAAAATGTGTTTATAGAAAAATAAATATTCTTTATTTATAATAAAAGTGTAGTTCATTTATTTTCAATAAGGAAGTATTTAAAAAAAAAGGAAAGCACTAAAAAGCACCTCCACTAGATGGCGACTCTAGCAAAAGTAAATTTTTGCAGGAAACGAATGGACCAAAGACAGTCATTTCCGTTCCTTTTAACTAACATATTAAAAAACAGAAATTTGAAAAGTTCGAAACTTAGATATCAATACAAATGCGAAAAAGTATGAATAAATTTATGACTTGTTTATTGAGTTTTGAAATTTAATTTACTTTTAAACTTCAAAGAAAACCGGAAAGGTTGTCATGGAGAAATCAATAACGTACTGTTGCAACATCTATAGTTTGATTTCGGGAACTAATGTTTTTTTTAAATACTTCCTCATTCATTGACCATCTGAAACGACTGAATTTTCACCTAACTCGGTAATATTGATGATACAACCTGGGTACGTATAGTTTTGCACTAACTTAGATTATTGATGTACAAATAAAATTATTTACAGAGAACCCGCTCTTACGGATTCCGTAGCGGAATGGCAAAAATTTTTATAGATATGTCATGTCTCTCAGTTCGTCCGTACATCGTATACAACCTGAGAAAGTATAGCTTTTGCATTAACTTAAAAAAATATTATTTATATATGTACAACTAAAAATTATTTACAGGGAGCCCGCTCATTAGGATTCCATAGCGGTATGGTAAAAAACTATAGATTTGTGCTATCAGTCTGATCGTCCATATGTAAAAATTTGGTAGTATATAGCCAGTTGCAAACGCCTATTAAAATTGTCATTACAAGTTTCGTTAGAGCTTAAAATTGTTATAAAATAAACCCTAATGGACGTTTGTGCAACTGAAGGACTATACGATTTGTTTCTTACCTGTATTCTCACGCTCACTCTCATTAAACAAAACTACCTACTTTTAAATATGTAAAGGTTCCAAAACTGAAAAACAAATATTTTTTCAAAAACACTCGCGACATTACAATACGAAATAAATAAAAACAAGACAGTCTAAAAGAAGTTTTATTTAATGCAAATATAATTATACGATTTTTTTTTAAGTCAAGGTTTCACCACCCCATGTTTAAAATAAAGAATAATTTATTGAACACGTACACAATACCAAATTATTGAAATTAAAAATAATAGAGACAATATTAACAATCAATTCAAATATCACTAAATCTTTACGTTTATTCATGGCGTCTTTAAAAAAGACATTGATGTTCCTAAAATCATATTTTCTTAAAGTTAAATAAAATTGAAAGATATAAACTTCTAAAGTAGTAAAATTTGTGTTGTCCCCGTCCCGCCTGCTCGTACTAACTTTAATATATTTAAGGAATTACGCTGTAGATATTAATAAACACCCAACAAAAATTGGATTGAATGCGATATAGTCAGCACGTTTCGAGATATACTTAAAACATTTTTTAAAAGAGCAAATATATCTTTAACATTATAATTATGAAAATCAAAGTCATTTTCATGGATCCATACATAAAAGGGAAAAAATAGGTCCTTAATACTAAAATTTTACTGTTCGTCTGTCTGTCACCATGTGTCTGTCTATCTGGTTGTACATGTAGCTGGACAGTTGACGTTTTCACAGATACGTTTATTTGATGCCCTACGCGGAATGAATGAATAATAATATATTTTTTAGTTTTTTTACTTTATGCTGTCTAGAGGGTGATGTTGTCAATTTAATGTAAAGTCACATAGCCTATAGCACGCGGACAACTAAAATGCTTTCAATGATACCTTTCTGGCTACTACCATGGATCCACTTTCAAAGACATTCCTATCTTAATAAATACACTCGGAGAAAAAGGGAAGCGTTATTTTTCATACAAGTATACGAGAGGTGGGCTCCCTAGATAATACTCAGTAAAAACTATTATTTTAATTTATTACCGTGATAAATTTCAACATTAAACATCCATTTGAGCCAGCAATTGAGACTGTCGAGATTTTTAAGTTTTATTTAAACTGAAGTTGGTTTATTTACTTGTACCTACTTTAATGCTGCGACACGAGAGCGCTGTCGAAAGTGTATTTTTAACGAAATAACAAAGGTAAATAAGGTCTCACTCAGGTTAAATTTTTGTAATTGTACGTCGCGCTAATGTCGCGTTGCAGCTGCTTTTAGGGTATAGTAAATATGTATTACGGGTCAACTGAGTAATAGGTACTAACTACCTATATATCTACCTCTCTTCCAGCATCTTCCTATTAGCTTAAAAATTCTAATTTAACTAACATCGAAGCATTTAAACACTAATAGCAAAAACCTTAATGTCATGCTGTAAGAGTAAATAAATCCCTTTGTAAACAAAAATCACTTGACCTGACCAATAAAAGGTGAACCAACCATTGATGAGCAACTGATGAAAGGATATCGATATTTTGAAGCTGTATCGATGTTAATAGAGAAAAAACACAAGTTTATTCAGTGCTCCAGTCTGGTCACTGCATATACCTTAGCACGGTTACTTTACCAATGAGAGATTTCCCCAGAATGGTTTGCCATTTGCCTTTCTATTTTTTAGAAGATCGGATACACGCATGGTATTTTTTTATGATTCTTGGCACTACACGATCAATGTCAATCAAAATATAGCTCATCAGCTAATGAACAAACAATTTAGGTACACCTAAACTTAAGACCAAGAAAAGTTAATTTTTCTATATTCATAATGAATCGAACCCGACACCTTAGTATTGGCGACATATTGAAGTTGACGTGGTTGAGGAGATATAGGTTTATCTATTACTACAAAATTGGACAATAATTCCATAATGTGCTATTTGAAATTTATAAATAGCAAATTATGACATTATTTTCCAGCTTTGTATTGCTATTGTAAAAAAGAGAATTCATAAAATTTACGAAAGAGATCCACAACTTACTTTTAAACAAGTTAAATCAACTCTATATTACGCCAGTTTAATTAATTTATTTTATTTTGCACTAAAATAACACCTCAATGGCGTTTCAACTAATCGAACTATGCAATTATATCATCTACCTGAAGAATGAAATGTGAAATAAGGAGAGAATTAATAAAATTAGCAGAAATAAGGCCCTTTATTTTTGAGCTCCTTCACTCTCGAAGAACAGCAAGAATAATATGCAATCATTTCTTATTTTACTTACATTAAATATTTGACAACTTTGTTAATGATAGATACATTTAAAATATCTACAATGTTAATCAATTAAATTGAATTTTTATCGATAGTATCATTACTCTATTTTATTTATTATTTTTGTGTGTACTGGAGGGGGGGAGGCATTTGTCTGACGGCATTATGGTCTGTGTCTGACGTCCACTTGACGGCGGAGAATTATAGAATCTTTTTATTTTTAGTGCAAAATAAAACAAAATATTTAAAAGCTGTTTTGTTTTCAGAAAATTGTGCATTTACCTATTGGCTTAGCTGGCTTATTAAAATATTGCGTACAATATAAGAATATCTGAAATAAGTGGTAAGTACATAGATAAAAAGACGATATATTTTGGCTAAAAAGTATTCCAGTATATATTGACAGCTTTTTTGCACGATCATATTTTCATTAAACCTCTCATATTGTATTGCATGCAGCGTTACCTAAAACAGGAGATGGATCCTAAACAAGGTTGGTTGCACCAACAAATATATGCCTAAAATCCTCGATAATGCCCTTTATAAAATGTCGCTCTTGACCTAATGTCACGAAAATATCCTATGTTTAACATATATATGGGATTCCTTTTTGTGACGTTACTATACCTTAAATGTTTGACTTTGTTTCTGAAATATGTACTATCGTTAGTTTATATATTTGACTAACTCATTGGTTAGTTATCAGTGCTGTTACGTGTTATCAGTATCTTCCTCATAATATTAAGTAGTTTTCTACAGTGATATTATTTATAATGTGTTATTTAAAACATGACCAATGCTTCGAGTATGTAAATTAACCAGTGTCCGCTGATAAATATTAATGGATATATATTAATTGATATGTATGTTGATACATATTAATTGTTATATTTATTGTTAGTTTGAGTATTGGGGGGTCAACTAGAAAATTAACTAAAATGATGTTACGTGGGCAAAATTGGCCCTAAGTAAATTACTTACTAGAAATTTAAGGTTTTTCCTTATATATTACTGGAAATCCTTGCATGCACACTATTTTTTAATTATTTTATTATAAACAAATATTGAATAAATCAAACTCAATCTTCATTCGACACTTGATTTCAAGTATTAAATAAAGTCACTAGCAGCTCAAAAAGTGCAGCTTTTCATATGCATGATATATATCAGATAGAAGTTGAATATCGGATATTTTGATATTTATTTTAAATATCAGATTTTTGCAAACCCTGAAATTAACACATGAACACAGAGAACATACTCACTGAAATAAATTTTTTGATAGCGCTTGTTAGATTATAAAATCTGTTTATTAATGATTATTTTTTTTTAAATATGATTGATTATACATTTGTCAATATTGTTTAATTTTTTTACAGATTCATTTAATGAATCGGTTTCATCAATATTAGAAAGAAAAGTAAGGGGTTGGCTTAGTGGTGTGATTGACGATATGAGACGTAGAAGTCCTGTACAGCAATGGTTGGATTCCCTACCGCCTGAAACTGTAGATGAATCTGGGAAACAAGATGAAGAGGCACAGATAGTTGAGACTAAATCAGAGATAAGTAACCAAGAAGAAACAGTTACAGAGGATACAGTTGTTGAATTGAATGCTGAACAGACTGTAGTTGATGAATCTGGAGATAAGTCAAATGATGACAGGACATTAGAAGTGCCTAACTCCAAAGAAGCATGGAAGAGAAAATCTTTAGAGAGTGGTATGCCTAGTTGTACTCCTAAAAGTAAGAACATAAAAAGACTGCAAAGAGACCACTCTGTGCAATCTGAAGGTTGTTCACCAAGGTTAAAAAATCCTTTGTTCAGAGATTCTTCCCTACAGGTATTTATATTTACAAATTTTCTAAATTAAAAATGGAATAATAATGAATAGTTCTAACTAAAGGTGATGAATATATAATTTACAAATGTCTTTATTAATTACAGTAGATACTATTATAATCATATTGGATAAAAATTATCATAAAACATTACCTTTAAATATTTCGTTTCTTTAAGTAGATTGATGCATCCTTAATGTAAAAACAATATTAATTTAATATGATGACTAAACATGCTTTGTGTCGAGTTTTTACTGTAGTCTTTAGGACAGGTTATATATATTTTGTATACCCAGCATTAATATTGGAAGCCAAAGCTATGGCAAATATTGAAATTAAAATTACTGATGCAACAAATAAAAATCAATAATTTCGATATTCAGATTCTGCAATTCCCAAATCTATTATTTTTAGTGCACAATTATCTAATGCATTTTTATAGTAGTTGAATCCTAAAAAAAGGGAAATAAAACAAAGTTATGTTGATTACTATAAATATTACATTTTTTATTGTTCTTCACCTATTTTTTTTTTTTTTTGTTACAAAATATATAATTTTGATATTGAGTATAGGTTACAATAAATTTATTATTTCATTTATTGAAATTGAAATCATAATTATTGGTTTAAAAAAGGAAAACTTAATATTACCTATTACTCTATGTTATTATAACGTTGCGAAAACCTGTTGGTTTTCTTTCAATAAAAAAAAAATAGTTTTGAAGTAATCAAATGACTATTTTGATATTTTAGTCTGATGCAAGTGGATCTAGTAGTAGTTCAGTTTTGAATGTGCTGGGGGCAAGAAAAGTAGATGCTGAGTCAGTTTTACTAGCTTTAGGATTTGGGCCAAGTGAAAAGCAACAGAAACTGCAGAGAATTCCAGACAGATTCCTAGTGCCATCAAAAGTAAGATATAATAATAATAATCTTCATTTCAGAGATATGACCATAATAAATGTCAGTAACAATCTGCGCTTAAATTAGTGTTAGTAATAATAGAATTTTAATTGAATATTTGTGAGTAAAAGATAAAACTCCATCCCATCCATCAGAATGCTATTCGGGCTATTGTATACCCTATCCAAGTGTGATGAGGAATGTTTAAGTATGATCACATAGAAATCATAGACATGTGCATCTGCTAACAATAGACGAGGTACTGCAAAACTTGGCTAAAAAGACTGGCAGTATGCTTTAAAAAGCATTCCCTATAATAATCATCTTCTTAGTAGTGTCCTTATCCTATGCTATATTATACTAGTGCACATTATGATAATGACATAATGGGAGTGAGTGTAGCTAGTTATTAACCCTTACCAATCTGAGAACTGTACTCACCGTGTAACTGTGGTGTGGATTGGTGAGTGTTAAAGACGGCAGTCTTGAGTTAATAACTCTTTTATTACATGAATAACGTAACGCTACGTACTACTAGCTTTTCGTGAAAGGAACTTATATTGCAGTGCAATTTTTTTATAACAAATAATAATATTACTTGAACATAACCTTTATTTACTGACTACCAAAAATTGAGTTACATATTATTGACATACCGATGTCAATAATATGTAGCTACCGATCTTGGTCAGGCTGTACTTTGATATGTTCTTCCACCTAATTCTCAATTAATTATTGTTATTTGTCATTCCTTTGGCATGTTGTCTTCCTATCTTTTTGTCTGTACTCCTCTTCTATTTCCATCTTGTGGATACCATTCTGTCATTCTGTTTTGTCCATTTGTTCTTACTGGATCTTATCAATCATATTTTCCCACTTTTGTTTTCTCTTATGGTTTTGAGGCGCCATCTATCTGACAGTTTTTATATACATACATCTGTTACAATACTGCCTCGGTGACCGAGTGGCTCGCGTTAGTCTTAAGGTGTCAGAGTTCCATAATACAAACACTTCAGCTAATGAATTTGGTAAATGAACAATGTACCTATATGATTATCGGTCAATTGCACAAACGTTCATTAAGGCTTAATGACGCCTTTAAGTTCTAATGAATGACAAATTTGTATGGGTAATGTCGCTTTAAACTAATGAGAATATTAATAGACGTTTGTGCATTTAGGTGTATGTACCTTATTATATTTATATGTTATAGCTAAACCTCTTGTCATAACTTTACTAACTATAATTAAAAATAAATAGGTATCCGATAGTGGTATTTACCCCCCAACAGAATCCTTCAATCTGTGTTTCAATACCATTAATGTAGTTATTATACTATTTAACATTAACTTATGTTTGTTACCATTAATGTATAACAAAACATATATGTATATACTTTGGCAAAAGTTTATTTTTTAATAGGAAATGAATGAATGCTTCTCAGAATATTAGTAGAAATTATATATTGAAATTATAAATTCGTAATTCCCATGTATCTGTTTATAATATATTATACCTATTTGTGTTTCAGCTTAAAGGCATTAGTACTGAAGAATTCATAAAAAATGAGCACCATTCAATGCGGATGCATGATTGCGGAATTTTTGGATACAGAGGTTTAACAGGTGAGAAACACTTTGATGTGTGTGTAATATATATTATAACCGTTCGAAAAACAGTTTTAGGTGAGAACTACAGATAAGTATTTGCTATGACGTTTGGGAAGTGTCTCAGTTTGGTAACAGAAGTCAACATAATGCTGCTTTGTGGTTTCAAAAATTTTCCAACTATTCGAAATGGAGAACATAAAAATATGGGTGTAGACAGTTTAATATGCTATTAGCGATAATCACACTTTTATGCTTATTATATTTATTATAATTATAATATTGCCTAAACTAATTATGTGACCGCAAACAGCGCGTGACGTCACGCCCTTCTTACGCATATCAGAACTTAGATAATTCAACATAATGCATACATAAAATGATATTCGTTTCAAAATGCCGTGACGTCATAGCGCCGCTATGATAGAAGTGCCGTTTACGCGTGAAATTTTGAAATTTGAATTGATTTATAGTTTTTTTTTTTTTTTAGATATATTTTATGTAAATCTATAAAACAAAATATAAAAAAGGTTATCTAAACCCTATTGTTACTTTGTCTTCTCAGTTTGTTGCCGCCACTATATTGAAATGAACATCACATATTCTAAAACTTCTTGACGAATAGTCATTTTTAAATAAGTACCCTGCAACCTAAAAGTCAGTCAAAGCAAGCCAGCAAGTTAAACTCATAACCATTCATGTGCCTCTGGTATATGTCCTCGCAAAAATCTGCCTTTTGGACTTTCTCTTGGTAAAATCAGTTGAACTGATCGTTTCCAATAATGAGCTGAACGTAAATGTGGTGTTAGACACCAGTGTACCTACTGTGAACGTTGTTATCGAAACTGAATACCTAATCACACAAAGTGTTATTGTCCCGCTCACGTTTCAGCGGTGTAAGTGAGACAGCATTACGTGCTTTATCATATTTTCAAACATGGCGTGATATCATAACTACTAATATAACCTGAAAACGGTTTTGGTTTGGTATTAACAGGTTATTAACACAATAACTGAGTAGCAGTAACTTGCCTAACCTTTTTTATTTCGTAGTTATCTTTAACACAGTGGGCGTATTCATTATCATTACATTTCCATTAGTAGCTTTTTACTAATATTTAAAATGATTAACTTGCTAACAGAACACTGCACCCCTGTATGCCGATTTATGAAACCCGTGTCTTCGGGTTACAATAGGTCATATCAAGTGCCTGAAATCGCCGTACAGTAAGTATGCTATGTCAGTATATTTGTTATTTTCATTAATGGGTCGTTAATCTTGCTTACTAAACTACTAAAATAAGTAACCCAAGCATTATACTTATATTTCAACTGTGCTGCCAAACCAATATTCTGATATAATAAAAACCTGGGATAAGATTGTGCTAATTGTTATAGTTAACGTACGGCGTAGAGCTGAAGATCTAAATATGTGCTTAACATATTAACTTCATCTTTACAACAAGAATTAACACATTTCAAGATAGAAACTGAAATCTCAAATTTTAGTTTCACGCACACTTTTTATATTAACTTTAGAGGAGCGTTGCCTATCGATGGGTTATATATCGATTCAAATAAAAAAATAAATAAACATTTTTCACTAGTGTTCTAAAACACATTTGCAGGGAATCCTCATGTTCCACCGTCGACAATTGTAGCTAAAATTATGGAATGTATACTGAATGTGGATGCGACCCGCGAGGAGTCGTCGACCCAAAGCCGTCACTCTATTGCGGATATGAGGTCCGACACACAGGGAATCCTTGCATCGCGATTTCTCTATAAGTGATCTCCAATATAAAATAGAGCTGGGTGTTTTATAAATAAATTTTGGTTCTGAACGATTGTACTTACATTATTATTACTTCGAATAGAAGGATTTCTCAAAAATTGAGTCACAGTTAACGTTAACAAAAAATTTGTTCTTAGACAAAATAAATAAATCGACAAATGTACACTTAACACTAACGCTATATTAATATTAAGTCGATATAATTTTCTTTGAACATATGTCGAAATGTAAGTTTACGCAGTTACGTTTTGAAAATAATTTGAGATCTTATGATAGAATCTTTATATAATAAAGATATGTTTATATTATGTAACCGACATTGGTCGGGAGTTGCGTTTAGGTATTATCTTTATTATATCACATCTGAACGATATAAATTCATAATATTGCCATTTATAACAGCGTGGTAGCAAATTCCAATAATCCCGTTATTTAGAGTTAATGACTATATTAATTGGAACCGCGGTCCTAGTTGCAGGATTGTTTAATTTTATTTTCTTCCAGCGACTGGACACGTATAACAGAATAAAAAAATCTATTGTCCAAGCCAATAAAGTACAATCAAATAATGTTTTTAACCAATAATTAAAGAAAAAACGCTTTAATTCAGAAATATTGTAACTATACATATAAACAAATTATATTTGAACCATTGTTTTAATTTTACGGTGAATATTTTGTACCGGTTTTGTTTTGTATTAGACAATAGATTTTATATTCATTTATAGATAGTCCCAGTTGCCAGAAACCTCATGGTTTTGTGTACTTATATTAGAGAAGTTTTACTTCTCTTGTCTTCTTGTACCAAATGCATATTTTAGTTAGAAATAAGTTTATACTGTGACTCTTCTGTAATATATTAGGTGATTCCTTGATTAAATGAAACAATGTGCAATATCAAGCTCTAACTTATGAATCATACAATTAAAAATATATAGTACCAAGTCTATTTAAAGGTTAAATAATATATTATAATAAAGAAAAACATATCTATTTTTAAATAAACTATAAAAGACATTTGCAATTTAACATGCTGTATGTCCTTAGAGACATTGGTTAATAACATAATCCAGTTTATATTATACTTACATTATGCATAATAGGATTATTTTATTGTAGGACTAAATCTTATCGATTTATTATTGTTGTTTGTCAAAATCTTTATTATAAATGTACTAGTTAAGTAAAGACATCAAATCGAGTGATATGTCGCTATAGAATTTAATTCTTCTGAGCTTAAAACCTAATTCTTGTAATGAGATATTCTCTAAAATCCTATCTTGACTGATGTGTAATAATAATACATATGTACTTATCATGAAATGTATCTTTGTCAAAGACTATATTTTTTTAGATAGTTACATATTATTAAGTTACTGAAACTTGCCTCAAATTTTTGAAACTTATTTAAGTAGGTATCAATGTGTAGTACAAATTCTACTTAAATTTTGTTGTACTAATAATAATATCGTAGTCGAATTATTAATCAAATGTCATAGATAGGTAGTTAACATTCTATATCTTTCTCATATTGTTGAATTATGATTTTTTACTTATAGTATTCCGAACCAAAGGAATATTACGAGGTGAATGAACCGAATTTTCTTTAAGCCTTTCATATCACTTTGCTAAACGGAACGAAAGAAAGAACAATAGTACTGAACGAAACGAAAGAATTTTCAGCAAGTGTTGCCAGACCAAATAAAAACCATTACCGTTACCTTCATAGAATGTGAATATTCACACTTGAACTTGGCGAAATCGTTTTATTTATTAATTGAAGAGGTGAACGTGAATATTTCAAAGGATAATGAATTACGTACAAAGAAGAAAAAAACGGTTTTAAAGTCTTCACATAACGTACTTTTTACGTTTTACACGTACTTAAGGTTCAAATGTTGCCGTGATTTGTTTCCTATCAAAGTTAAATATTCAAAGATAAAGAACTGGCTGTGAAGAAATGTCTCTATATTTCTCAAGGATTTGGTGACAAAATCTCCGGGGCTTTCAGAATTTTTGTACCAGTGTGCGAGACTTATTTTCATATAAACAATTCTAAAATTAGCTTCATTCGCCTCTTTCGACGCATTCGTTACGGAGAAATATGCACGTACTATAAATCAAAACATTCAAAACTAAAAAAAAAAAAAAGGTTTTAAAGGATAAAAAGGTTTATAAGTGAACATTCAACAGATAAGAAGTGTTTTGCTAGAATTTCAAATGATTTTTATTATTCTTTCTAGTAATTGCATAATTTGTTTTTTAAATAAGGTCTAGTTATAATATTATGGGATATCTCCTAAAATTCGTTAACAATATCTAAATAATAGTCAATCGTCAGTGAACCTCTTTATTCCGTACCTAATTATAAATGTCTATATTATTGTTTTAATTAATGTTGGTGCAGAAATATTTGTGTAAATGTTTGAGATAAACGGAAACATGTACAAAGTAGATACCAGTTTTAGAATTGAATTGATTCGATATTGCAAAACAACATATTTTTTTAAGCCGCGAGCTTTTTATGTGGGTTGATATCAAATCAACGTTATAAATACCTTATCGTCATATAAATAATACCTACTGTATGACAATGACGAGCACAATCAATCGGTATAAAATGTATAAAAAATAATTTACATTATGAAATTAATGTCATGCATGATGAAACTAGTTTCGTTATAGTATCTCTGAGAAACTGCGCTTACCATACGCAGGTGGTGTCGTCACATTGGTCTCGCCATATTAATTGTGGTGAGATTAGTTGCGAGACACTAGTTTCCTCAAAAATATGCGCATTAACTATTAACTAGTTTCGACTAGTGACATGAAACTAAAACATGAATTGCAAAACTGGATATTAACATGTGAAACTGCTAGTGTAATTAATTGTGGTAGATTAGTTGCGAGACGCTAGTTTCCTCAAAAATATGCGCATTAACTATTAACTAGTTTCGACTAGTGATATAAAACTAAGGTATAAATTGCAAATCTGGATATTAACATTTGAAGCTGCTAGTCAAATAATTGCAATGAAACTAGTTTCATAATGTTGCAAGTATAAAACGTCACATAACAATTAATAAAGCGAGTGATAAAGGGAATATTACTGTTATTAAAATATCAATATCCAAAAAATGTAAACCTAATTGATAATATATATAAAATATTAAGTAGCAATTCCAAACGGTTTGGTAACTCGGCGGTATTAAAAATGTATGCAATCGCCCGATTTGTTGGGAATTGTTGATTCGATTCTCTTTCACGGTAGATAGTCGATTGTTTCATTGTGATATTTAGTTGTTGAATATTCTGTTTTATTTTCGTTCCCGTTAATTATTTTTAAGAAATTGTATCCTTCTCATTTTTAATACTTTCAATTTCATTTATAAATAAGTTTTGTGGGATAACACAGTCGCTTATGTAACAATACCGCATAAGTTATTGAAAGTTTTTAATATGGGTTTAAATTTGATAACCTTTAAACAAATATCTCTCTTTTTAATAAGGTTTTAGTAAATCGGTTTAAAATACATTAGTATATTTAATACTGAAGAAATTTATATGAGACCAACTTAATCTTCTGTAAGTGTAAGTAATTGGATGTGCGTTGAAACGAAGTTTACCCATTGGTTTAATTATATTATGTAGTCAATTTTCGTTTTACGATATTGTCATATAAGCGACGTTAGTTATTATAATAGTCATAGTATTGAAATATGATCATAAAATAGAAAAATGTGGTGGTTTATAAATTGTGGACAATCTCATTTAATACGTGCCTTAAATTGTCCTACAACTTGGTTAATTGTTGTATTTTTATGATATTTTTCGAGCTTACGGTTCAGCCACCTTTTTATTTATTCATGACGGATCATTCCTCAGAATCATATATCTGAATTGTTTCAACATGTAATCACTAATAAAATTAATTCAATTTGATAATTTTTCAGACACTTTGCATTTCCATTGTTATATCGGTATTTGTTTTAGAAAATTACTTGAATAAATTATCTCAGGTTATAACAGAACAACTTACCTATCTTCCAAATGAGTTACCGGATGCATGAACTAGTTCTATGAGAAAAATTTGCTGCGTGAGTGAATGTAATGTCCGAATGCTACGACTAATGTTACCGTTAGGTGGTGCTAATTTGTTTGTAGGTCGAACGTCAAACAAATTGGGGCCCTTTGGAAAGTCAAGGTCCAGAAAAAGCAAGTTCATTTTGTCTTCTTGTATTTCTTAATAATGTATAATGAAACGAGTCTAATTCACGAATAATTCTTTACAGAATCTGCACAGAACACCATGCAGATTTTGATGTAAATCGTGGAATATTAGTTTTACTGACCCTTTTAATTATTAATAAATAAATTGCGAAATAGATCCGGCAAAATAGGTTGTCAATTTGTATAAACGTCAATGTATAACGAACTAGTTAACTTTCACACATCATTTTAATGTCGTTATTTTAACAAAGAAATTAACTTAATGATTGACATGACCACCGACTTAACTAGCGCCACCTACTTTTATTATTTCATATTGGGCAAGTTCTTAGGAATAATTATAAATTATGAATGAATTTTCAAATACATAATAAGATAAATATTTCTTTTCTTACATAAAATCGAGTGGGTACTTGATATTTTCGCAGTTAAGGTTTTCGTTAAGATCTCCGGTAACTCAGCTGGAAGAGCAGTATTTTTCTTTAAAAGTAGGTAGTTGTAATCTACCATTGTAGGCTATTGTTATTTTCCTATAATAGTTTGAAGTGACCATATATTGTGTGGCAAATATTGCTCATTTATTGTTTATGTTACTAATTTGGATGTGGATCGAGTTTAAGTGGGAACAATGTTATTGGAAAAAAATAAGGTAATAATAAAAATCTTATTCTGGGACACTTATTTTATTTATACATATTTTAAATTTAACCTACGTTCATACAGTGGCACATCAAGTTACCACTTACTGTTTTGGCAATCAACTTGGATCTTAATGTCTAAAACAGGTTTTGCAAGCGGTTCGAAAAAGATGTCGTAAGTATTTTAAGGCTAGGGAGCTAAGCGCTCGCACCCCTAGTTAAAAAAAATGGTTGCTCGGAATAGAATAGTATATTTAACCTTATTATATTTCTAACTGCTGTAATTAATCTGATTAATTTTAAGCAAAAACAAGGGTGTAGTTCTGTCTACCGTTTTATTCAGATCCAGTTATTTGCTTCTCAATTAAAGTAAATAGATTTATATTGAAAAATTCATTAATAGTATGTCAATTTGTTATACCAACCATTAAACAATTCTCTTCGGATGCAATATTTTCTAAATTCATCAAATGCTAACATGAAAACTGAGAATGGCAAAGCTAAAAACCACCTGAAAAGATAGAAAAAATGTATAATATTTCTTACCTATAAAAATGTATAATATTTCTTACCTATATCAATGACTATAATGTGAAATAAAATACTTGAGAAAAATACTTGAATAAGATTACTTCATAGTTTCAGGTATACAGCAGCGCAATACGTTACGACAATATGTCAAAGAAGGTTGCCCATCGAATTTTAGTACTTTATACAGTCAACTGTACGATAGATTATACAAAACTATTAAATTCTCCCACTCGATTCGAAACCTTAATACATTGTAGGTAGTAGCCAAACTTCATTGCTGAAATATGTCATATTGTGGTAATGTGACGTGCAGCCGTGTGTACCTTCTTGTTTGTTTAAATTTTATCTATGTTCCATACTTCATAGATTGGGAATCAGCTTGTGCTCCACACGATTATCTACCTACTCAAATAATTCCAAGCTATTTTTGTGCAAAGCTAAGTTCCGTAGTAAAAAGAAGCATTCATTAGACCCAAGGAACTAGTAATATCTTTATTCATATTTATCTTTACAAACTGAGTATCAACCAAATCATACCTATGTAATATTTTACTTACCATTTCCACCTCAATGGGTATGTCCGGAAAAAGTCGTTCACACCGGGGGTGTAGCATATAATACAGGACAATATTAATTCAAATATTAGTCCAGTATTCAATACCTTGTTTCTCATACCTGAAAACAATTGAACTATTGCTTCAATCAAGTAGAACATAGTAGAATTGACTAGAAACCATTTGTAATATATACTCGTTGCAATGATATATAAGTAGGTACCTAAGTAAGTACTTGTTCCAAACATGAAATTAGCTGCTAGTCGACTTTATAATTTAAATGGACAATCAGTCCTTAACTTTCATGATACCATAGACAAAATCTACAATAGTAACACAACACGTGCCACCTATGAGTCCTTCACAAGCTCGAGACTCATTGGTGTAGCACGGGTAACCGTAGTACAAAAATGTAAGCAAAGTCCTGTTCTATAAAGGCTCGTTACTATCGTATCGTTTTGTATCCTTATCCATTTAAGGATAATTTTATTATTTTGCCCCAGTTTATTCAAGTCATCAATACTGTCCTTTAGCAGTTTTGAACTTATAGTGTTCGAATGTATGGCGTTGAGTTCTGCTCGACTGTGAAAGTATATACAAATGGTCTGATTTGAATAGTTTCGGTAACAAAAACTGTGTTAATAAGAGATGTCATTGAAGCGCCGTCTGATAGTGACTAACCAACATGGTATATCGAGTTGTATCTAGTCTTGCAGATTATGCCATTCATCATTTGTGTCATCACCACAGCAACGAAGTAAGCTGCCTGGCAAGCGCGTTCCACCTCCTTGCGCTCAGCATATGTCCACTCCTGACCCAAGGAATCTTTGACATCGCTCACCGCTTCATTGTCCCATTGAGCTCTGATGCCTGCATGAATTTTATTGTTTTTTTTTTTTATATATATACAATTGTTATTTAATAATTCAACTGCATTTGATTCTCCAGAAGTTTTCTTGTTTGACAAACTCAGTTTTAGGAGAGGTATGTATATAATTTAATATAATAATGTCTGTATGCGATTGTCTTGTTTATTATGCAATTTTGTTTTCGGATACCAGTCTAATGAATAATCATAATTTAGAGAAATTAACCATTCGGTGAGAAACACGTGCGTAACTATTAAGTACTTTGATTATTTAGATATTTTATCAAAAAAAGTATCGTGTAGTTTACCAATACCTATATGTATTAAAGTATGAATTTGATTGATCCTAGTATAATGCCTAAATCCCCTTATTTCTCTAAATTAGGAGGTTCAAAATTCGATCTGCTTCAACATCAGTCGTCATCGTTAAATTCGTTTTTATTAAAAACCATATTACATTGACGTCCAAAAGTAGTAGAGGTCACTGATGCTTGAATTCTCACTTATAAAGGAATCATTACATCACTATATTTTAGAGATAAATAATCTGACTAAACGAACCAAATAAATCTGAGGGATAAAATCCGTGACTGGCCATCACCACGAAGTAAGCGAACATACCAGCGGCGAACTCTATCATACCGAGGTGGCAGTACACGAGCGTTAGCATACGCGGGGACACTAATGGGTCAGAAGTTCGCGGTAGTCTATCCATTACGTCTGCTTCCGCTTTCTCATGTGACAACGCTACCGCTGGCCACATGTCCGTTCCTAGGTCTACACACAGTATTGTCATCACTCCTGTAATAATTGAGCAATAAGTTTTTTAACATTAAAACTGCCGAGAGAATTTTCATGAAATTTTGTATTTTAATCTTACATGTTTTTTGTTTGTGCAAATATTTTAGCGAGTTTAAAAACAACTATCCGAACAAAGTTCTTATCTAACTATTTTGTGTGCTTGATTAAAATCCAATAATCACTGTCTACTTTGCATTTCTTCTAAAATTTTGACTTACCCAATGGTAATGGTATAGAAAATAGGATGAACATTAAAACGGGCATTATCTCGGGTACATTTGAAATAAGGATGTAGCAAACGGACTTTTTTAAATTATCAAATATTTTTCTACCCTCTTCTATTCCCGTGACTATGGTGGTAAAGTTATCGTCCATTAAAATTATATCAGCTGTTTGTTTCGAAACCTGTTAATTAAGAATGTAAACAAACATTCAAATACATAATTTCAAGCATAGATCTAAACAGTTTAAATAAGAAAATTTGTTAGATGGCGCAGGCAATCATAACATGACAGGTACTGTTCTGTTCAAAGTTATCAATCTTAGCAGAAACATCTTCCCAACCACGAGTAGAAATGAAATTGGAAATTTATATGGGTAGGAAGTGAATGAAAATTTTCCCGTAGTCCACGAAAAATGAAGTTTGTAATAAATACAGTCAACAGCACGTCAGACTATTTAACTATCAAATTTCCCCACTCGATTATCTGATGAACCTTAATACGTTTTGGGTAGAGGTCAAAATCCTTTGCAAAAATTTGACATGTTCTGGTAACTTGAGTGCAGCCGTATGTACTACTGTATTCAAGCAAAATTAATAATAAATTAAATACTTGAGAGCCAGTTATTCCCATGGAGATTCCAATATCAGCACGTCGTAATGCCGGTGCATCATTGACTCCGTCGCCGGTAACAGCAACTACGTCACCTGCTTGCTGACAAGCTTCTACTATCTGGAGCTTCTGCGTAGGAGATGTCCGTGCAAACACTGCATCAAGAATGTTAATCAAACAATGATGTATGTTTGTTGTCCTTTCAATATGAGATTTAGATTACTCGGTGCTTTTTTGGATTAGTATATTTCCTGCAGCTTATGAATAATTTGTAAAGTAAAACGAACTCAAGAGACTCAAAAGACGAGCAAGAGCGAGACCGAGAGTACAATTTTGTATGGGCAAATCTCACTCGATTCGTTTTTCAAACCTCTAAAGTTTTGCGTCTCTCGAGTTGGTCTTTCTACAGCTGGGATCAAAAATGGACTTCGAGGGGGCGAAATACGTATGTATATAGGATAGTCACTTATGGCATTCGGTTCTCTTGTCTACCCTGCAAGAGATCCGAGGGCCTACTGCTTGTCCACGAACAAAGTTCGGAAAGTTTCGAATCGTTCTTATATGATTTTGTTAATATCATATCCGTGAATATTATCTGTGAATAAGAGACAGTGTCAGGTTTTATTTTTGTTGTACCTCTATAATATCTTATCGAAAAATTATTGCAGACTCACCTATTATCGTTAGTGTGTGTGTGTGTGTGTGTGTGTGTGTGTGTGTGTGTGTGTGTGTGAAAATATACGAAACTCATCACCGATTTCATGGTGTTTCTCCAGGGTTTTGATGAGCAATTCAGTAGTCATGCTGCGGAGCTCTGTGCCAGTGACTACGTGACACTGAGGTGAAGTGGCGATGCCAACTTCGAATGCAATGGCACGTGCCGTTGAGGGGTGGTCTCCTGTCACCATTATCACACGGACACCAGCTGCGCGTACTCGTTGTATTGATGTGTGCACCTAATACAGGCAATCGATGGATTCTACAAGCTCTTGCAACTGAATTTTAAAGTAGATACTCTCAATTGATTAAGATGAAACTTTGCATAGATACAGGTTTAGTTAAGATGACAATGAATAGAGAAACTTGATGTCGTAGTGGTCAGCATATTCAGTCTTCGATTCGGAAGGTAAGTAATTAACTTTCGCCAAGGCTGGTATAGAATGACCAAAGATTTATTATATCAAGCTTATTATAAGAAAGAAACATGAAGAGATGACGGCCTGGTTATTTTGTTGTCATGGGTATATATGAAAGAGGTTGAATTATAACAAAGCTATTGTAAACAATAAATGCTGTTAAAACAGTGTGACAGTTAAATAAGGTATGTTTGAATATTAACAAGTCTCCAATCGTATCATATACCTAATGGCCGAAAATTCCTTCTTGGCGTAAGTACCCAACTAAAGTGCTAGAAGTGAACACCTATGTTATATATTTTTTATAGTTTAGGTATATATCTTACCTCTTCTCTAGGTGGATCCATAAGGCCCATTATACCAAGAAAACGTAAATTTTCAGTTGGAAAATTCATTTCTTCTGTATCAAAATTATAATTTAGTGGAAATTTCTCCGGATCGAGTAAAAGATCAGCAAATGCCAATATCCTCTCCCCTAAAATTACTTTGTAATACATTTCGTGGAAGTACCTTGGAAGGTCAATACGTTACGATAGTTCTTGACGTTATTCATTGATCGGAATTTTCATGGTATAATAATAAATGGGAAAGAGTGTTTGTTTGTCCTTCTTTGATGTCGTGACGAAACGTTGTTATAGTATGACTTTCTTGCATTAACATAGCTGGGAGGCAGAAAAGTGACTTAATTAGGCTACCTTTTTATCGCCACAACATCCAGACACATTAATATATAAGCTAAGCCTACATAATAAAACTTAGTTGAGAACCATTTAAGTAATAATTACATACCAGTATTTCCCAAATTATCGATCGTTTTATATACTGTTTCGCCAATAGATTGTGTAAGAGTTACATTATCCTTTCCCAAAGCAATCGTAGCACAGTGATTTAGCACATATTCTGGTGCTCCTTTCAAAACCAACAAATATTGTGACGATGTTTTGTCTTGGTGTATGCTCATCTACAATATCATATGGAGTTTATAGCTATTTACTTACTTGCTTGGACATTAGGTCTTGTTCTAGACTTAGTGTTAGGTATACGGTCTTGTTCTAGATTTAATATTTTTTTTTACAAAAGATAAACCCATTAATCAAATTATATTCCACTCTAAAAATAATATGAACATTGTAATCCACCAACTATTAAACTCACTTGATATTTGTTAACAGACGTGAATGGTATTTCAGCAACTTTCGGATATTTTTTTCTGACCAAAGTCAAATCATCGTATTTTCCTAAAAAACTCAATATGGCCGTTTCGGAGGCATCTCCACTTATTCTACCTCCTACTTTTAGTGTCGCTGTACTACACAGCATTCCGCATATTTTTAATGCATTAAAAGCTATGAAACAAAATAAATACCAGTCATAAACAAATAAAATAATAATATTAGACAACATATGAGTGCTAACGCAGTCTATTTGAAACAACAAAGGTACTACAACACCCAAACCCGAAACGATATAGAAAAGTTGGTTATCTACATCGATCCCACCGGAAATCGAACCCGCATTATCTAGTCTTATCCACAAAACACAGTCTGTGGTCTTATCAACAGCGAATGATTCATCTTTGATGGCGATTCGTTCGAATTTCAATCTTCGCAGCTTGGGATTGTGTGGTATATCGTTTTGTCCACATGGTCCCTACCGCGCCCTCTTGGAATGCATTGGGTCGTTTAGTGTGGATCCGGCTTATAATAGATTGATTTTCTTTATTAAAACAGTATACATTTCAATAAAGGTAGTTTTGAATTTAAAATAAGGTAGTAATTACCCAATTAAAGACATACCTTGAACTCCTTGCAAAGTACCTACACAAAAATAGAGTTCAAGTAATTATTTGTACAAACAATCAAAAGTAAGTTACCTATATAAAACGCGGTAAACTTACTTAATAAATCCGGTTCAGATACTGAATATATTTTGTCGGATATCCAGATATGTTGTACGCACATTTTATTTTCTGTCAGTGTCCCAGTTTTATCTGAACAAATAGTTGTGCAAGCGCCCATGGCTTCTATCGCTTCTAGGTTTTTGATCAGGCAATTTTTTTTCACCATTCTCTGAGCCGTCAGTGTCAGTGACGCCGTAATGGTAGGCTGAAGACCTAATATAATAAAAAAAAAATATGGGTATAAACTTTCTGTGTTGTTCGATATTTTTTGAGTTCGCCTATATAAAAATCTTACACCCACCTTCAGGTACATTTGCAACTATTATCCCAATGACGAATATGGAAGTTTGCATGAATGGATAACCCATCGCTAATGAAGCCCCGGCTATGAAGCTCCCTAAACATAATGCCCAAGCGGACACATAGCGCATGAAGCGAGTGATCTCCTTGGACAGTGGCGACGGAGCTGGCTGAAGTCGAGCTGCCAGCCCCGCTACACGCCCTAATGCTGTCAAGTCGCCGCAACACAACACCACACCTATCATCCAGAAAAATACGAAGAAGTGAGTACCTTTTTATACGTATAATAATACTAACTCTAGCGGCTTGGCCTGCGTAAATTGTAATGTCACCCGCCGCCCGCGTATATTGTAGCTTCTCGTATGTCAAAGAATTTTTATAATCGTTCCAAAGTCACCCAGCGAGCTATGCAACGGGCTATGTTCGGAGTTTCTGTATTAAAAATAGGGATAAAATTCGTAACGAGGTCATCAACAGAAAACCAAAGTTATCGACATAGCACACAGGATTAGTAAGCTGGAGTGCAGTGGCCTGGCTATATCTATCGATGAACTGATAGCCGGTGGAGCAAGCGAGGCGAGTTTGCTAGCGTGGTGTAAGAGAACCTCCAGCAAGGTGGAACAATGATTTGAGAAAAGTCGCTAGTAGGATGGAGATGGAAGAGAATAACCCAAAACAGGGGAAAATGGAGCAAATTGGGAGAGACCTACGTCCAGCAGTGGACTACTGTGGGCCGATGATGATGAATCCATCCAGTAGTTCTGGAGCCTATTTAGTGCAATGATATGACAATAACGACTAATTTACGAAAAAAAAGGCATGATTTATTCAGTTTCCAAATTATAACAACTGCAGTGAAAGAATCACAAAATATATCTTTCCCTATAGAGGTACAACGGTAGTTTTTAACGGTTGTTTTATGGTTAATAACGATGGAAACTGAATAAGTAGAGATCACATCACCATCAGGCTATCAATGTTCCCACTGCTGAGGTACAACTTTCCCTAATAATACTTTATAATCATTAGCGCCGCACGGGCGTAGTAGTTACGGAGGTTAGGTACATGTTTTCACGAAAATGTTTCGTTGGTACGACCCTGGGCTAATACAAACCTATGGCTGTTCCTTCCACACACATCGTAGAAAAGAATGCAACATTGGGTGACTCAAGTATATTAGCGGTGCCTTCGAAATTGCCACGAGGTACTGCAACGCACTCGCCAGTTAACGATGAGTTATCAACCTATGTTTAGTAATATTAATTATATCAACCATCTTTAATATTTTAATGCAAGTGACATCTCCTATAATTGAACTTGCAAACCGCGTCCTATTTCTTGCCGCTATTTTTAAAACCGGGCATACGCCTTGGCCTTCTTTTTAGATTTTGCTTGCCGCACTAATGTTGTTTCTGATTTTCATAATACTGTGTTTTATTATTTACCTACCTCACATTGAATTGGAGTTATTTTTGTAATTAAATACTGATCCAGAAACGTAAGAAAAACAGAATGAGTTACTATCTTTATAACATGTGAGTAATAGAAATCTTTAACGGGATTAACGTGTGAAAGGTTGATTGGAAACATATATCTATTTGAGGCACAGTCGCATATTTTTTTTTATTATTTAAGATTAAAATGTAAAAAAAAGAAACCGGCCACGTGCGAGTCGGACTCTTGCACGAAGGTTTCCGTATACCGGTAATGAGTAAAAAAACTGACGTTTATTGCATGGCAGCCCCCCTTCAATATTTGTTTAATTTAAATATTTATTTTTTAAGTAACTATATAAATACATATGCTGTAAATATTTTAAGCGTCTACCTGTTATTGCCACAGAATAGAAAAAAAGTGTAGAAGTTGCAAGTGGGCTTGCGCGGTTTTGCGGTTAGAATAGAAACATGCCTTATTGTAATCTAATAGTGCAAAAACAAGATTAAAACCAGCAATGTATCTAATGGAGGTAGGTATGTCTTATCAACGGTGAATAATATTTGAAGAAATATTTATTAAAATCACAAAATCTGTGATTACCAGCAAAAATTAGTGAAATCAAATATTTTTTTGTAATATAACAGAAGGCACGTAATATTTGATATTGAACCATTTTATTTTCTTGAAGTTTCTAACATACTATTCTATATACTATGTTGAGCGCCACTCGATCAGAGATGTGGTAATAATACAATAATCGTGCGTCCATCAATTTTGATATTAGCTATTTTACCGCCACTTCGCCTACATAAATTATAGCCTATGTCGTTTGCGCACGCTGTAACTTCCCGTATATGAAAGAATTTTTTAAAACCGATCCACTATTGTCGAAGCCTACTCCATGCAAATAAAAAAATAATCAAATCTTTCCTCTTAATTGACAGGAAAACACAATATTTATTTAAAAAAAAATTGGATTACGTTAAAATTAGCGCCTAAAGGCTATAAGAAATTTTTACTTTCTTAACAATCACTAATTTATTTTCTATTATTGTAACAATTTTTTATCGATTTAATTATTAATTTTGGTTGATTTAGTTCTATGAATTTAATAATTTATCTAAATTAAATTTTGATTAAAAAAGATGATTAAGACAAATAACGGGATTTCATAAACTAAAAGAAAGCAAAATCACTGATTTATATTTTTATAATTGAATTGATTCAATATAATATCATTAAAATATACCGTTATAATATAGATAACTTTCACTATGGCTTGAGTTGGCGAAAATTTTATATTATGTATGCATAATAAATAATATTGGAAAAATAATATACCTCGTTATAGGTTTTTCATTTAATTAACTACTTACACGCGAACACTTATAAATAAACTTAATGTAGAACTTATCTTCTACAATTACTATACCAGACGATGATACGAATGTTTTAAAATACGTGATAGTACATACATATTTGATTTGATAAGTTATAATTCGCTTACCATAAAACCGATACTTACTTTATCGGGTGGACAAATTGACATATCTTTAATAATAATAATAATAATCTATATTCCATTACTTAAACAGGGCACATTACAAAACAAAATATTGAAAACAGTATATAATAACGAGAGAAAAATAAATAATACAAGTTTTATGCAATATGTAGGGACAGAAAATGGTTCTACATTTCTGACACAAATAACTTTAGAGTACGAGCACTTCTTATAGCATCCGGTAGTGAGTTCCAAAGCCGAATCGCCTGCACCGAAAAGGAATAGGATAGGAAGTCAGTGGTATGAGGAGGGATGTCAAGGGTAGGGTATAAGAAGTTCCTCAGTCAAATCTGTATAGCATAGTCAATGATAGAAGCCAACAGTGTTTGTGCAAGTGTGATTTTGGCACTGATCGGTAGAAAGTTTCTCAAACGGTTGAGCGAATTGAATGCGGCAAATATTTTTTTCCTCAACAAATTATTAGAGGTTTCCAAGAAAAACGTTGATCAAAGATTACATCAAGGTTTTTAACAGTACTTGAGTATGGAGTAATAGATCCATCGAAAGAAACGGGAGGCACTTGTCCGAGATCGATCCTCGAAACGAAGTGAGGAGTACCTATGATTATAGTTTGTGTCTTCAAAGGGTTTACAGTGAGACCAAAAGATTTACTCCAGCTACATATACATACGAGAAAGGTCACTGTTAGTAGCCGCAACCGCATCGGATATGTTCGAGAACGGTGCCTGGGTGTAGATTTTGAGATCATCTACATAGAGGTGATAGGAACTAGAAATTGAGCGAGTGATAAAATTTATAAAGATACAGAAAAGAAGAGAAGATAAGACGCCACCCTGAGGAACACCGGCATTGTTTTGTATCAGTGGTGCCATCTTACGTGTAGTAGATGTACTAAAATAATCAAGAAGGATTTATTTATTTTTAAACTATATTTTGATCGCAGCAGGGTTGAATTTTACTTAACTTGTATTACTTAATGTGCCTTACGTTTTTTCAACTTAGTTTCGAAGACTAATCAGCACGAAGCAATTTATGTGTGCATATGCTACAGTATCTTTCAATGTGGCTACAGTAGCAATTTTCATACAAATCAACCGGCATACCACTTCTACTCTTTTTTTTTTTGTTCTGTGGTTTTCGTTATCAATATCGAGCAAAAAAAAAAGCAAAAAATCACGTTTGTTGTATGGGAGCCCCCTTAAACATTTATTATATTCTGGTTTTTGGCTGAAGCGGCAACAGAAATACATCATCTGTGAAAATTTCAACTAACTTTCACAGTTCATTAGATATAACCTGAAGACAGACGAAACAGACAGCAAAGTCTTTGTGATAGTGTTCCCATTTTACCCTTTGGGTATGGAACCTTATAAAAGAAATTCTATTTAGTCCATCATCATATGTAAAGGTGTGACGTCATACGACATTTCAACTCAATGTATCGCCGTAATTTATTGATTACGAAATAAATAAAAAATACGTTTAATAATCTATCTGACAGACAAACAAACAAAAATAAGTAATAATTCCTATTTGGGTGGTTAACCATGTGTAATGAGGAAGTATTTAAAAAAAAATAGTTCTCGAAATCAAACTAGATGACGCTACGGTACATTCTTGATTTCTCCATGACAACCCTTCCGGTTTTCTTTTATGTTTAAAAGTAAATTAGTTTTCAAACTCTATAAACAACTCATATTCTATTTGTACTTTTTCGTATTTGTATTGAATTTCGAACTTTTCCGATTTCAGATTTTTTTTTATGTCTTAGTTAAAAGGAACGGAAATGACTGTCTTTAATCCTTTCGTTTCCTCCAAAAATCAACTTTTGTTAGAATCACCATCAGGTTGAGGTGCTTTTTTAGTGCTTTCTTTTTTTTAATACTTCCTCATTATACTTCTTACGTAATTAATAAAAACCTATTCTATTCTATAAATGAATGACCATTAACACGTAGGCTAATGAAGATCAAACTACGCAAGTACTTTGAATCCTTTGCTGTATATAATGCGAATATCTGCAGGTACCACGTCTCCAGCATTAACATGTACTATGTCTCCTCTTACAATGTTCTTAACTAAAGTGTCAGAATGAATGATACCGTCGCGAAGACAAGTCGTGTTCAAAGGTATCATATTATTAAATGTTTTCATAATCTGAAAAGTTTTAAAAAGGTAGATAAACGATTAACCAATTGTGCTTTACATGGTTTTGTAATAAGATTAAATTTACCTTTGTACTCTTAAACTTTTGGTAAAAGCTAAACAAACCGCAAATTACGTCCACGCCAACTAAAACGCATCCTAAGTATAGGTTATCTTTGCTAGCATTCGTCTTCATTGTCGTCTCTATTACGTAAGCGAGAAGGCACAATAAAGCTCCGAACCAAATCAAAATAGAAAAACCTAGAAAATAAAAAAGTAGGTAGATATTTAAGCGTCAACATTTAGGTTGATATTTCGGTAGATAATAGGTCGCATTATAATGTACGTATATTTATTTAGTTATTATGTTTACCTGTACACAGTGAAGTAAATAACACACGTAACCATCCGTTCTGAGTCGCAGGCGTGAGCGTATTTGGTCCATGGTAAAGTAGCAGTTGTTTTGCACGGGACGTAGACAAACCGTACACGGGATCGGTGCCAAGGATATTATACAAGTCCTCTATAAGTTAAAACAAGTTCAGTCATAACGAGTGCACACTAAAACTAGATGGTTTGTCACTTAACTAGCCGCACATAATATCTGCGCCATTCATGATTGATGTAAATGCAGGATTTTACTAACATGAGCTTAATGATATGAACGTGTTCATGATGACAACAGATGCAACCAGAACCAACGGTTTGACGTGAGTCACCCAACCGACCTTTGCGAAAATTGCTTACCGAACTTTGCTTAACGCGCTAACCATTGCACCAATAAACATTTGACCATATATAGGTTAACAACATAGGAAGGTCATTTTAAGAAAGAGAAGGTGTAATGTACGTTTATACCTTCGATTTTCAGAGACCATAGTTGAATGAAACCAATTAACATCACGGGAAAGCGTTATTTAGTACATTATGAAGATGAGACTTTGCCGCCAATATATGTAAATCTCAACACATATTTAATTAAATGTAAAATGAACCCACAAAATAGAAGATAGCCGACATATAAATTTTGTATAGAATGATTAACTTACTTAGCGGGATTAAATGTAAGTCGGTGTGTATCTCTTTTTTCAGGATATCCAAACGCGTGTTACTCAAATCTTTTGATCTTAACCCTTTTGGTTTGCTAGGTCGAAATAACTCCGATAAGGATGATAAGCTGGAAGTTCTTGATTTCATAATAATTTATATTCTTCACAAAATGGATAGGTTTCGAACGTTAATGCTTGAGCCAACAATCAAGACGGTCACGACACATATTTTTTTTCTCTGCTAGGCACACGGAAGTACTGATTTTATGGATAAAATAACAAAAGATGATAAGCCTCGATAAAATTCAATAATAAACTAATGTACCTTAGGATAGAATAAATTAACAAATAGTGCAAAACTCGATTACCTATATTCATTTTAATCCCCGTGGTCGGCGTAGGTAGCGCTATTTCACGGGATTTGAAGATGCTAGATCAACGTGGACATACCCTCGCAGTCCAAGTACCAAGACCAGGGATTTTTAAAATCACTTTCAATCAAATATTGCATTTTGTTTCATTTAAAAATCCACGCACTGAAAATATCGTAATTATTTTACCATAAATACTTACCTTATTGGTAAAAAGAAAGCAACTGCTGTTTTATAAAAACAATTAAGGCCCTATCAGCCAGTTGCACAAACGTCCATTAAAATTATCATTAATTTAAAGCGACATTACACATACAAATTTGACGTTCATTAGAGCTTTAAGACGTCATTAAACCTTAATTCAGGTTTGTGCAACTGACCGTATAGGCTATACAACCTACTAGTTAGTGCCTTTACAAAAAATGTTTTATATCAGAAGTGATTTTTTATACGCCTGTAATACCTACACGGCTTCACTCAAGTTTAACTTGCTAAAATAAAACTGATTCAGAATAAATAAAAATGCGTTTTTTTCCATATTTGGTATATCGGATGAAACATACCGATACTAGATGATTCAATTATATCGAGTTGAAGCGATATATATAGTATATATCGATATTGAAAAATATATCATTCACTCCTAAAGTACATCCCTCTCCCTCCAGTGGCTTAATCTTGTTCACGGGTGGTAATCTTGGTGGCTTCAGGACCGAAGCTGCTGGTGTGCAGGGCTGCCACGCCGGTGAGTTGTGTGTGAACTGAGGTCCGGTCGTGGGCTGCGAGGACCAGGTCGGGATGATGTCGTCTCGGGTGGTGCCAAGGATCCAGGAAGCGTCGTCGATGCTGCTGTTATGGACCTTGGTGTTGGCTGGCTTGCTGCTGAAGTGGCTGTGCTGATAAGGGATCAGAGGCTGATGGTGAAGGATGAGAGGCTGTTGATGATGAGTGATGGCTGCGTTGTGATGCTTTAGGAACCTTAAGGTTGAATGTGTGGTCCCTACTGTGGTGATGGAGACAACTGGCCAGGGAGACTAAAGGATAATTTTCTCCCTCCGAGCTAGGTGTTGTTAGCCCGGGGACCGCGGTCCAACCGATGTAGGTTGGACGTTCTATTTATGTTAATTGGTAATGAAACTTATTCTGTGCGATGTAGGTTTCTTTGTTCTAAATGTCTTGTAGTTATTAATTTATGATGTTCGTATTGGTACAGCGCCATCTCGTTACTTGGTGTTGAAACTTCTTGCAGTTCGTCTTGCTATCGATGGCTGTGACAATGCTAGTCTTCTCGCTATCGATTGTTGTAGCGATGTTAGTGCGATGAGTTAAATGTCGCTATGTATCAGTCGCCACACATCTATGTTTTAAAGCCTTGATGCCATCCCTGAAGTGGTTTTCTTGAAGCTCTTCAAAATAACTGTCCACGGCAGACATCACCTCGCTATTATTTTCAAATCTTTGTCCACCTAAAAATTTTGAGCTTAGGGAATAGATGAAAGTCAGATGGTGCCAGATCAGGAGAATAAGCTGGGTTTGGTAGCAAATTATTTTTATTACTTTGAATTTCGCCATCGCAGTGATGCACGTGTGAACGCGCGCATTATCCTGATGAAAGATTTTTTTTTTAGCCAGGCCGGGTCTTTTTTCACGAATACACACTTGTAATTTATCCAGTAGATCAGCATAATATTCGCCATTTATGTTTTGTCCTTTTGGCAGGTAATCAATCATCAATATACCCTTCGAATCCCAAAATACTGACGCCATGACTTTCCCCGCTGATTTCACGGCTTTTGCTTTCTTTGGAGCCGGGGATCCTTTTTCCGTTCATTGTTTAGACTGAATTTTTGATTCAGGTATATAGCGGTGAACCCAAGTCTCGTCTGCAGTAACAAACCGTCGCAGAAAATCAGTTGTATTGCAATTAAAGCGGTCCAAACATTCTTGTGAAATTTGCATACGAACGCGTTTTTGGTCAACTGTAAGCAATCGCGGCACCCACCTTGCGGATAATTTTTTCATACATAATTCTTGGGTCAAAATGTAATGCGCCCGTTCTTTAGAGATGCCTACAGTATCAGCTATCTCGGAAAATTTCAATCTTCGGTCAGCTAAAACTGCATCATGAATTTTGATTACAATTTCTGGAGTAGTGGCACTTTTTGGACGTCCTGGACGATGTTCATCTTGGGTGCTGGTACGGCCACGTTTAAATTCAGCCACAAAAATTTTTATGGTCGCATATGAAGGAGCATTTTCTCCCAAAACATCCTTCATCTCGAAAAATCTCTCCACCTTTTAATCCTTTTAAATGCAAAAACTTTATCACAGCTCGTAGCTCAATTTTATCTGGTTTGCATAAAAAACAAAAGAATGCTTTTTGAAATGTCAATATTTTGAAGGAAAACTATACGAAAGATTTGAAATTTGGAACACTGGCAGCTAATGAACCAATGAGTTAAATACTAAGGAGATTATATATCGTTATTATACAAAATATGGGTTGGGCTAGCTATTTATTATCCCGCCTACGTATTTTTTTTTTTTTTTATAATATGGCAGGCACGGCTTGTGCATTTTGCCAATGTCAAGTAAAAAATTTGGGAAACGAATAGGAAAGAAATCGGATAAGGAAGGATGGGATCAGGAATGTATGGTATTTATAATCTTAAATATACTATATATATTATCATTTTTTACAATTTTATATTATTGAGTATGAGATATGATATGATACATTTATATATTGATTGATCATAAGTATGTAGTAGTGTGGCTATGTTAGTCGGGAATGGAACACGAAGGGATGTTAGGTCTTGCCAGAGGGAGGATCTTTGGAATTTAGGACAGGAGAAAATAATATGATTAACTGTTCCTTCATCTGATCCACAGTCACACCTAGGATCGTTGATTATATGGAGTTTAGCTAAATGAGAAGGCGCAGAAGAATGACCAAGTCTCATACGTGTAATCATAGAAGTTTCTAGCTTGCCACACTTCATTAAGAAAAACCAAGGTTTCAAAGGAATATGATTTTGTATCTGAGCATAAAATTTACCTTTTGTCAATTTACTGATTTCCCACATTTGCTCCCATTTCTCGCGTAATATTACTTTTGGAATTGCTAATAAATCTGAACAATAGTTTTGAAAAGGAAAAACATCTCCACATGATACTGCTTCATTAGCAAGCCTATCAGCTATAATATTACCCTTTATACCAACATGAGCTGGAACCCAAGCAAATTCTACATGAACTTTGTTTTCAACACATTTTTGTATCATTTGTCTGATGTCAAAAATAACGGGAGTATAACATTTTAATTTAAACGGGATTTTTTCTATAGACTGTAAAGCACTCTTTGAGTCTGAAAATATTATAACAGATTTAAGTTTCATGATTTTACTGTATTCTAAGGCTTTGAATATGCCAAAACATTCTCCTGAATACACGGATGATTCTGGAGGGAGTTTTACTTTCTGAACTATTTTATTTTGAGAATGATAAATACCGACTCCAACGCAGGTAGATGTCGAATGTTTGGAAGCATCACAAAATATGTGGTGATAGTCATTGAATTTGCTGTCAATCGCGATTTTAAAGTTTAATAAATCAGATTTATCAACTATGTCATAATGAATAGTAGGTGAAAAAATTAATGATTTATAATCGACATTAAAAATAGGAAGGTAATTTGATACATAAGTAGGAGAAGAAAGGGAGATGAATTTCTTATAACTAACAATGAGACATGGTGGAGTTTTATGTGTCCAATAGCTTGAAGTAGAAAATAATTCATAAAGTGCCTTAATCTTAGAAAGAAGTGGATGATTTGAACACTGAATAGTACGAAAAAAGAATTTGTCACAAATATATTGCCGTCTTAATTGAAGGGGGGGTTCACAGCATTCTATTTGTAAAGCGTTTATTGGGCTCGACATATACACAATGGCGGGTGCCTGAAAGTTTCGAATCTAAAACTATGCCTAAAAATTTCGCGTGATCTTTAACGGGAATAGCAGCATTATCATACTTTAGGGAAATAGGAGGGAGTTTATTTTTACGCGTATATACTACGACAGCACTTTTAGAAGCAGACAGTTGTATCCCATTAGAATCCATCCAATATTTTCAATTAGATAAAGCAGATGTTAATTTAAGAAGCGAATCCTCAATGGAATGACTAATGTAATACAATAAAAGGTCATCGGCGTATTGAAGTATTTTGATATTATATTTATTTGAGCAAATATTATCTTCTAAATCGTATGTATAAACATTATACAGAATAGGACTAAAGACTGACCCCTGCGGAAGGCCTTTTGAAATAGTCCGAGAATAAATAATATTGTCGTAATATATTTCTATTTTGCGTTCTGTTAAAACGTTGAGGATAAAATTTATGAAATGGGAAGGTATACCTAAAGATAATAGTTTAATTTTGAGAATATCTAATAAACATTATCATACGCAGAAGACAAGTCTACAAAAACAGCTGTTACCGAATCGTTATTAGAGAAAGCTATGCGAATATCTGTAGTGAAGATAGCAATATTATCGAGTGTGCTTCTACCTTTTCTAAAGCCATTCTGAGTATTGGCTAAAATGCCTTTACTTTCTAGGAACCAATCTATACGGTTTTTGATTAAATGCTCCGCTAGTTTGAGTAAAACCGAAGACAAAACAATGGGTCGATATGAAGAAGCTTCAGAAGGAATTTTATTTGGTTTTAAGATTGGCAACACTGTTGGACGTTTCCAAGATGAGGGGATATTACCTGAGATCATCGGCGAGTTTATTAAATCTAAATAATATTGTAATGTGTTATTGCAAGCGTTGGAAAGAAAAGCATATGGGATACCGTCGCTCCCAGGGGCAGAGTTTTTCGTATTTTAAATGATACCTTTTAATTCATATAAACTAAACGGAACACTAATATCAGAGTCAGCTAAGGAAGAAGAGATGGAGATATCGTTCGAAACCCAGGGAGGAGCTAATTTATCTAAGAAAGGGTTTATTAGCTATGGTGGTATCATTGATGAAGAGTTGTTATTGACAGCCGATTTGAATCTTTTAATGTTTTGCCAAACTAATGTTGGAGTAGTGTTAGGGGAGATAGAGATACAGAACCTACGCCACC